GGGGATCATGATATACAATTAAAATCAAGTAGAAATTACTAACCCTCAAAATATGGGTGAAATTCATCTCCAAAATTGCCTCTTCCTGATCCCCAAAACTCAAAATAGTAAAAATAAGCAATTCCTATAATTCTGGACATAAAATATCCCTGACAACATTTTACTCTTTGCGATCGCGGCCATAACCCACGTGATCGCGCTGCACACTCCTCGTCCAGAAAAACCACTTATGCGATCACGACTAAACTCCACTTGATCGTGATACGTAGCCAGACCACACCTTATGCAATCACGGGCTCCCCTAATGTGATCGCGAAGAACAAAAATCTTGGTCCGAGAATTTCCTTCTACGCGATCACGGCCTTTACCAACACGAACGTGATGCACACTGAAGCGACCCTTCGTGATCGTAGAAATTTCCATATGATCGTGAAGAACATATCCCTTCTGCCCAAAATTTTTCTACGCGATCGCGGCTCAAGTTTCGTGATGGCGATGCACTGACTGTAGAAATCAGTTAGTCAACTTAGCTCCATAATATTTTGTAACTACCCTGAAACTCACCCCCGAGCCCCTAGATTAGATTCAATCATCTTAACAAGTCCATATACCTTATTAAAACTTGCTCAAAGTTTCAACAAATGAATAACAACAACAAAACCAAAAATCGCACAGCAAACCAAAAAATTTTCTCAAAATTTTCAACTTATATCTAGAAGCGCCGAATTAACCTCGAGCTACCCGAGGCCCGAACCAAACACATATGCAAGTCCAAAATTATTATGTGAACCTATTGAAGTATTCAAATCACCAATTCAGATTCGTTTACACAAAAGTAAAATATCGGTCAATTCTTCCAACTTAAAGCTTTCAAATTAAGAATTAATCTTTCAAACCATCCCCAACTTCTTGAAAATGAAAATCAACTATACATGCAAGTTATAATACATCATATGAGGCTATTCAAGGTCTCAAATAATAGAACGAAGTGCTAGAACGAAATATGACTGGTTAGATCATTACATTTGGTCGAAGTCGCGAGCCCTCCTATCTCTCGTGTTGGCGAGCCTATACAACATTGTTTTTCCACTTTTGTCCTCTAGTTCTTTTACAAATGATCAAATACTGTCATTTTAGTCGTCGTCCTACTATCCTCGCTTGCTTCTTTGCAATTTTGTACCTCTCCTGATTCGTTCTCTTTTTTCCTCGTTTTTTCACTCCATTAACTTCATGTAAGAAACATTCTTGGCTTCCACTTTCCTTTAAACCTCTTTATTCTACAACCAATCCCCTCTACGTCCATTAAAATTATCCTTCGAGACCCCTAATACCGCTCTAGCTACTTTTCTAATACAATTAGAGAGACGTTTGACTTAAATATTCAATACTTTTATGTACATTTCAGATAGCAAATCAAATATATTCATGCAGCTACAACACTAAATAATCATTTCATTAATCACAGTCATTACTTAAACCATTGGCGTAACTAGTAACCCAACTAAGATACACTCCTTTAACACTAAATAATATCATATGAAACAATATAACTAATATAAACACCTTTCGTATATACATTACACTTATTCAATACACATACACATATATCCCCTCTAAAATTCGAATCGGATATGTGTAAAAGGGATCAGCCAATTAGAGATCTTAAAAAATATCCTCCACCGGATTCAACTCCCCTCCATTTCTTAGTCTCTCCATTTCTCCAAGTTTCTACTTGGATTAGAGACGCTTGTCATGGTTAAAAATTATTGGATGAGATTTAATTGAATAAATTAAAGCTCTAACTATGGTTAAAAGTATTTAATTACTTTCTTTATCCATTCCTAAATAATATATTTTGTCTCTCACCAAAACTTTCCATAATTTCTCCCTCTACGTGCCAAAATACATCTGCTCTCAAGGAAATACCGAAAATCATTGTAGCAGAGAAAATCTTTTTGATTTTTACCATGAAAATCCAGTCCTTGAAGGTCATTGTTAGTTTAAAAATCAATAGAGAAAAACACAACAAGTGGAAAAACAGAGAATAAGATAGCAAGTCGTGGAAATTCATTTTTCTGGAAATAACTGCTTTGAAATTTTCGTCAGGTTCTTCTTTATACATTAATTCTATTCCTTAGAAGTTTTATACTTTTTTTTACATTTCTTGTTGTGGCAATTGTCGAGTAAAAGATTGTATACCATGTGTTTGTTGAAATTACAAAGTCATGAACTTTTTGGTGTGGGAAGAATAGACTGAACGTTTTGGAGTAGAATTTCGAAACTTAACTATTATGTTCTTTGGTGTACTAGACTTTGACTTGAAAGCAAGTAAATTTAAAAGTTTATCATTTTAACTTACAAATAAAATTAGATTTGAATATTTTATGAATCAAGGTTAATTGATCGTCAAACTAGTATAGTTATGCACCATTCCCTTTCATTATTGCTTGCTGAATTGTATCAATCAAATAAAAAATTGGAGGTTAGCAGGGACTATGCCTCATAATTACTTTATAAGTCATGTGATAAGTAAAAGCTACAACAAAGTAAGTGCACACTTATGCTATGTGTCTTACTTTCTCTTGTTTAATGGTAGATTTATGAAGATCCCATCTCAAAATGAACATATGGATGTTTCTCATTTATTTGAGCCAATAAAGCTTGGGATGGCATTTGATTCAGAAGAGTATGCATATGAATACTACAACAAATATGCTGCTACAATTGGGTTTAGTGTTAGAAAGGAATATGCAAATAAAAGTAAAGTCCACGGATATGTGACTTCGAGAAAATTTATATGTTATAAAGAAGGTTATAGAGAAAGAGACAAGCGAGAAGCGATGGTCAAGAAACCTAGAAAGGAAATTAGGACGGGTTGTTTAGCTCACATGGTCGTAAGTCGTCAATCAAATGGGAAGTTTTCTATCATTTCATTTGAAAAAAAGCACAATCATCCTCTCGTTCCTCCATCTCTAGCGCATATGCTACCATCGCAAAGAAATATTAAACTTTCTCAAGCATATGAAATTGACTTATTGGATGATTCAGGAATATGTCCTAAATCATCTTTTGACTATGCTTCTCGTCTAGCTGGGGGAAAAGCTTCTTTAGGTTATACAAAGTGGGATCACATAAACTATCTTCGTGACAAAAGAAAAGAAAGTCTAAAGCAGGGAGTGGCTCATAGTTTGGTCGATTATTTTGAAAAAAGAGTAATAAAAGATCCATCTTTTCAATTTTCTTTACAATTGGATGATGATGGTTTGATAACAAATATTTTTTGGGCTGATGCTAAAATGATAAGGGATTTTTAGATTTATGGAAATGTTGTATCATTTGACATAACATATAGAACAAATAAGGAGTATCGACCATTGGCTTTGTTTGTTGGATTAAATAATCACAGGGAAATGGTTGTATTTGGTGCTGCCCTTTTATACGATGAAATAGCTGAAGCATTTGAATGGCTTTTTACTATATTTTTTAGAGCTATGTGTGCAAATAAACCACAAACATTAATCACAGATCAAGATATTGCAATATGTTTAGCAGTCTCATTAGTGATGCCACAAACATATCATTGTCTATGTATATGGCACTTAGAACAAAATGCATTTAAACATCTTAACCATATCATTAGGGCTCATAAATTATTTCCGGGTGATTTTAGCAAATTGCTTTATTATTACGAGTATGGAGACGATTTTCTAAATGCATGGGAGGAAATGCTTGAGAAGTACGATGTTAAGGATAATAGTTGGTTGGAAAACACCTTTGCTATAAGGAAAAAGTGGTCCATGACATACGGTAAAAATGTATTTTCAGCGGGTATGCGAAATATATAATTGAGTGAAAGTTTTAATGGATCACTAAAGGGCTACTTGAAATCCGATTTAGATATTGTACAGTTGTTTAAGCATTTTCAAAGAGCTATTGACGATAAGCGTGCTAATGAAAATAAGTCAAATTTTGATATGACCAAACGAATATCTGTCTTGAATGTTAAGCTTCCTTTATTGATCCATGCGAGAGAAATATATACTGCAACCATATTTGATTTGTTCGAAAAGGAGTGGGAAAAGTCATTACTTATCTCTATAAATGGCTTTCATGATGAAGAAGAATTTGTAAATACAATGTTAGCACTCATGGAAGTCGCAGATAGCATGTAGTAGTAGTGAAGTGCTCAACAAAGGTAGTCTCTTGCAGCTGCAAATTGTTCGAATTTTCGGGTGTACTATATGGACATGCTCTAAAGATTCTGGACACATTAAATATCAAGGATACGATTCCGGACCATTATATATTTAAAAAGGTAAACAAAAAATGTTACCAACTTGGTTGTAATGGAGATTAAAGTGTTTACTGAGGGAGGGAGGTGATCCAAAAGTTGAACTTAGTACAAGGTATAGACATTTATGCCAAACTCTTGTCCAAATTGCATGTGAAGCTTCAGAATCCAAAGAAGGATATGAGTTGGTTGCAGAGTATTCCAACGATATAATTGCAAAGTTGAAGGAAGTAAAAATAAAAAATGAATCTCATGAAAGTCCACCAGTTCCAAGCAAAGTTTTCCATGATGAGACAATATTTGTTGATAGTGCAAATGTCACACAGGTGACAGAGTTAAAGAAGAAGCAATCAACTCGTCGCTCCAATACTCGACCAAAGAGTTTTGTGGAAAAGACCAGGAAGAAGAAGAATAAGATTCAATCGCCAGTATCTCCTCCATTGCAAACTGTCCAACATGTAAGTCACCTTGCAGACCTCCAAGCACCATGTCCGCCATTGTCTAATGCCACAACGAATACGGTATGTCATAATAACTATATTTTATTCCTTGTGTGGTATTGTGTAAGCTTATTTTTTCTCTTTACATGATAGGGATTGGGAGAAGGAAATTCTTACCTATGGTATTCTTCAGAATTGTCTTAGCTAACAGCTCATGGAAGTCTATCTCAACTCCTAAGTTAATATATTTTTTTTGACGATTTTATGTCCTTATTTTTCTAAATGATACTTCTCATATGAATTATTTTACTTGCAGGATATTTCATTTCATAAATTAAAGAAGTACTCTCAAGGTTGATCGCCAATATCATGAAAGAACGAAGGTTGCATAGCAGTATAATTTTGTCAACACAAAGATGATTTCAGAACTATTTATTCCAAAAACAATCAGTGACTTTTTCCAGTTTTGGAGTATAGTTTATAAATACTTCCATATTGTATAGGGTCAAAATCGAGTTTTCTCTTCGTATGACTAATCGAGATTGGAACATGATAGACCAAGGTTCAACTTTGTGTAATGTCGAGCCATGATGCGAAGTTAGGTTGCCGAGCTCGAGACCCAGAGACCGATCAAGATCGAGATCGGCCAAGATCGAGGTCGAGCAAAATAGAGACCGATCAAGATCGAGATAGGCCAAGATCGAGGTCGAGCAAAATAGAGACCGATCAAGATCGAGATCGGCCAAGATCGAGGTCGAGCAAAATAGAGACCGATCAAGATCGAGATCGAGTAAAATAGAGATCGATCGAGGTCGAGATCGGCCAAGATCGAGGAAAGCTTATCGAGCCAAAAAATAGAAAGCTAGAATATCCGCAATTGGGCCAGAATCTTAGCGAAAATCACGACGCATATCAATGAGATGCCAATTAATTAATCTATCATGGGATTCCTTCCTGTATTTAGAAATTATATTAAGAATAGGACTTCCCTACTATATAAAGGGGGGTCTGATCATTTATAGGGGGATTCATTTTTCATAGAATATAAAGCAATATACTGTCTTTCTTCTGGTTTTCAATATTCAGTCATTTTGTTCTTATATCAGTTTACTCTACATTCAATTTGAGGGTGATCAAACTTGAGAGCCTAGGCTAATTAATATATTTGATTTGCATTTATTTCTTTTACAGTTAATTTCGATATTCATTTATATATTTTCTCAATTTGTACCAAGTTATGCTATATATCCTTAGAACCGCATATAAATTCAATTGTTATCCGTTTTTCGGGTAAACAGTTTGGCGCCCACCGTGGGGCTGAGGATAATAGTGGTTATTTGGTACAAATATCAACAAAACACATAATTTTACACTTGCTCGTTGAAGTGTCTTTGATTTCAGGCTAAAGATGACGAACTCTCAATTACTCCCCGTGCATATCAATAACGGATCTGACCATCAAGGTGAGAACAACAACGTGATGCTTGGTGATGTAAGGTCACCCGCTTACTCCATTAAGATTCGGGTCATGGATCCAATTGATGTTAATTCACATGCAGCCATCGACGGGAACCAGCATACTGGTCCCAAAAATAATGTCCATGGTGGAACCCGATCTGCAGCTCGAAATACCCAAAAAATCGGAGAAGGCGGGATCAGCCTACGAATAATCTTCGAAATGCTGCAAGTTCAACAGGTGGCAATAGCTCAATTGCAGAGCCAAACCCAGGCACCGAGCAGGGCTGAGCCCGGTCCACCTCAAGAAGTCACCCATAGAACGGGGCCAGCCATAGTAAGATCAAATGAACAAGAACCCCGAAATCATAAAAATGCTCGAGGAATTGACAAAGCGGATAGAGTTAGGGGAAAAGAAGATCGAAGCAAACGATATAAAGGTCGAAACCTATAATTCCAAAGTAGACCAAATCCCTGGGGCGCCCCCGATACTGAAGGGGTTGGATTCAAAGAAGTTCGTACAAAAGGCTTTTCCTCCGAGCGCGACCCCAAAACTGATCCCTAAAAACACTTTATGCCCGAAATACCAAATTACAACGGAACAACCGCTCCAAACGAACATGCAACCTCTTATACGTGCGCTATCAAAGGGAACAACTTGGAAGACGACAAAATCGAGTCTGTTTTGCTGAAAATATTTGGGGAGACCCTGTCAAAGGGAGCGATGATATGGTACCATAATTTACCGCCTAACTCTATTGATTCTTTTGCAATGCTTGCAGACTCTTTCGTAAAGGCACACGCCGGAGACATTAATGTCGAAACCTGAAAATCGGACCTTTTGAAGGTAAAACAAAAGGACAACGAAATGCTCAGAGAATTCGTATCCCGATTCCAAATGGAACGAATGGACCTACCACTGGTCTTCGACGATTGGGCAGTTCAAACATTTACCCAAGGACTCAAAATTCAAAGTTCGGTGGCTTCGCAGCAGTTGAAGAAAAATTTGAAAGACTACCCGGCTATCACTTGGGCCGATGTCCACAATCGATATCAATCGAAGGTGACCAACTCGGGGCTCCGTCCTGGTCAATTTATCCTATCAGATTTGTTGATAGAATTAAGAGGGATATCAATCGAGAACCAAGGTCAAACAGGGATCGATATCAGCCGTATAATGGAGAGCGTAGAGGCAACGGACATGGGCGCAACCCTATGCAAAATGAAAGGAGAAATGATCGAGGCCAAAGCTCTTGAGTGTTCATAAACAAGAATGGTTTCAACAAACATACCGGACCTAAAGAAGCACTACGATTGTCAGAATATAACTTCAATGTCGATGCATCCACCATCGTATTGGCTATCGGATGCACCAAAGACACTAAATGGTCTCGGCCTTTACAAACCGATCCTTCACAAAGGGATCCCGACCAAATATGCAAATACCATGGTACACATGGCCATAAAATGGAGGATTGTCGACAATTAAGAGAAGAAGTAGCCCGGTTATTCAATAACGGGAATCTTCGAGAATTTATGAGCGACAGAGCTAAGAATCATTTCAAAAACAGGGATTCCAATAAACAGAGTGAACAAGACGAGCCCCAATGCATCATTCATATGATCATCGGAGGGGTCGATGTTCCTCAAGGTCCGATGATAAAACGCACCAAAGTATCAATCACAAGGGAAAAACGAGCTAGAGATTACACACCAGAAGGAACTTTATCCTTCAACGACAAAGATGCAGAGGGAATCATACAGCCTCATAATAATGCACTGGTAATTTCCGTACTCATGAATAAAACTCGAGTTAAACGTGTGTTGATTAATCCAGGTAGTTCGGCCAACATCATTCGATCACGGGTCGTATAACAACTCGGCCTACAGGACCAAATTGTGCCCGCAGCCCTAGTACTAAACGGATTCAACATGGCATGTGAAACTACTAAGGGCGAGATAACATTTCCAGTGAACGTGGCCGGGACCATCCAAGAGACGAAGTTCCATGTGATCGAGGGCAACATGAGGTATAACGCCTTGTTTGGGAGACCATGGATCCAAAACATGAGAGTAGTGCCCTCGACCCTTCACCAAGTTCTGAAATTCCCAACACCCGAGGGAATCAAAACAATCTACGGGGAGAAACCCGCCGCAAAAGAAATGTTTGCCATTGTAGAAGTGATTCCGATATCATCACTCTCATCAATGAAGGGGTCAAATTTGAAGGAAAAATAGGAGGCCAAATAGCAATCACAAATGCCGGCCTCGACCCAACTAGAGAAGCAGGGGACTGACGAAGATGATGATTACGGGGTTCCTCGGTCTTTCAGAGTCCCCGATGACTCCGATGCTACCAAGTCAACGGTCAAAGAGCTAGAACAAATCATACTAATCAATCATCTCCCCGAACGAAAGGTATACCTGGGCACGGGGTTAAATCCCGAGCTCAGAAAAAAGCTTATTCAATTTCTTATAGCTAACATAGATTGTTTCGCTTGGTCCCATCTCAACATGACGAAGATTCCACCGGAAATCACTACCCATAAACTAAGTTTGAACCCAAAGTTCAATCCGTGAAGCAGAAAAGTAGACCCCAGCCCGAGATCAAGCACACCTTCATCAAAAATGAGGTAACCAAATTCCTTAAAATAGGGTCCATCCGGGAAGTAAAATACCTCGAATGGTTAGCAAACATAGTGGTAGTTCCTTAAAAAGGAAACAAACATAGAATGTGTGTAGATTACAAAGTTCTAAATAAAGCATGCCCCAAAGATTTTTTTCCTTTGCCTAATATCGATCGCATGATCGATGCCACGGCCAACCATGAGATCCTCAATTTTCTCGATGCTTATTCCGGGTACAACCAGATACAGATGAACCCGAATGATCAGGAAAAGACCTTGTTCATCACCAAATACGGAACCTACTGCTATAATATAATGCCATTTGGGTTAAAAATGCTGGTACCATGTACCAACGCTTA